TAAAATATTGGGAAGTGGGAAGTAGTAATAAAACTGCAATATAAGGGAACAGCGGCGATGATAGTGTGCCAACTTTATGCAACGTGGCGCAGGCATTCTGGGTGATTAATGCCCGGGCTCAGTGCGGCCGAGCTGCGGAGGAGTTACGTACAGGCCAATGCTGATGATAACGATGTGGAATACTAGAAAAAACACATATGACAATAGGATCACCCCCTATTACATAGCACTTACCTATAACATAAATAGTGAAAAGTGGATGTTACATTGTACAGTGGCATTACAGTTTGCCTACTCGTTTGGGAATAAAAGGAGTGTTGATGATGATAACACTTTTCGCCAAATACAAATTATGGACCAATATAGTGCCTATATACATATTACATACTACACAAATCCGTTATTTAGACATTCATTCACAGTTGCAAATTGTCGAAATAATAAAAGATTTTATAAAAATACAGCCATAAATTTCTTAGCAGTCAATATCCAATGATATTTTTTTATTGAGAAAGGCCTATTTTCAAATTTTCTATTGAGAAAGGCCTATATCAACTTTAGGATAATAGTTTTAAGTACTTACCTATTTAAATCCAAATATTTCGGCGTCCCAAAAGGTGAGTAGTCCTAGGCTCGAAGGTAGCAGAATTGCGAATCTTGCCATAAACTTGTAACAAATTCTATCATCCCCCGACCCTACTGGCGTTGTTTGGCTCGTTTTATGTATTTTAACCGTCGTAAATGAGATGTAAATCCGAGGTAGCATCAACCTGTATAAACTTCTGTTATTAGGAGATTAACCCTCTCCAATTAGGTATTACAATCTAGTTTATTAACCTTTCTAATAATGTCTAATGAAATCACGTTTTATTTTCTATCCATTTAATTAAAATAATGATGTAAAATAAAATGTTATTGGGTATTTGGGATTAATGATATTTAGGTCCTGATCAGTTGCAAAGGGGATAGTGTAGGTACAATAATAATATTTTTTTTTATATTATGCATATTTAATTTTCCTTTTACTTAAACTTTAAAGTTCGAAATATTTTATTCTCAATCTCACACGAGGAGTTTAAGCTCCGAAAAAAACGTTAAATGTTTATCTATCTATTACTATTAAATTATATCCGATCCTTCAAATCCTGATATCTACGTTTATTTATACCTCCAAATTATAACATGTAGGTAATTCATATATTTAAGATAATTTTTCATATATCGAAAAAATCGCTGTTGTAAAACTACTAATTCTGTGACAAAATTTCTAATCTATGTCAGAGGCTACATAAGTCGTCCCTCGAAAGCGGCTGGGGTGTTAATACGATCTAAATGAACCGTAAAACTTTAAGGCTGGTGGATAGTAATTTAAGCTCGCTAGACAACGCACCGCCACACTGCCGGTAGGTAAATTTTCAACACAATTTTCGACATGACACATTTTAAATTAGGTAGATAGTTTGCTTTCAGTACATGCATAATCTCTGTTGTATGCTGCAAAATACTTTCGACTTAAAATCAACTTAATGAATGTAAAAGGATAAACATATTATTTAACTTTTTACTTATAACTTAAGTATAAAATACATATACCTACTACTTATATTTAGACGAAAATTTCCCCAAATACTTAACAGTCTGACCTTCTAAATTTATCCAAAATTAGATCAATTACCTTTTCAAGATCAAGTAACTGATATTGATCCAATTAGGAAACCCTTAAAATTGAACCTTTGGGGAAATTATGAACATACCTCTGGATTTACCTGGTTAAACCTTGTCGGTCAGTTTAACATATAATATTATATCTTCATATCCGTTTGTAAACTGTTAAAAATTAAATATTTCGCATCAAAAAGTCAGTACATTGTTTGGTTTACGTTTTCTTTTTATATATATTTTATCTATATCTTTGTATTTGAGTTCTCTATAATATATTCTTATTCCATTATTATCTCTTTTCACGGTGCTTCTATCATATTAAAACTAGTGATTAATACATGAACTATAGATCTGTACTTCTGACTCAATATTAAAAAAGTTAAAATTAATTGACAGGCATAAACACATCTAAACTGAGAAGCTCAGTTTAGATGTGTTTGCAACAGCAACAGTTAATAAAATACATTAAACCTAACAGCTTGGGTGGCAATGCATAAATGATGGTCCTGTTCCACCACAAAGGTCGCACACTAAAATTAAGAAAATTACTTCGATCGATCCAATATTGAATCTGCTAAATAACAATTTTGAACTGGCAATATAATTTTATGATTGGAAACTACATATTAGAGAAATTGATTGATTTAATCAATTTTGTATTTCTGATTAGACTTTGAAAATAACATTTATTTTGACGCGTACTTAACTGAGAGGCAGTTTACTAGAGTAGTCACCTAGGATACTACTAGAACCAAGGCCTTTGGAAAGTTTAAAGGTGGAGTGTGGGTCAAGTTGTACGGAAGGAGCTATAGGCATAAAGCACACATCGCAAGCGAATAGAAATATATAATTGTGAAGAAGTTCTATAAAAACAGGATAATATAAAAGGCTGTCGTGAAAATGATTCCTTTTCATACGCGAATCTCCAATCCCAATCTTCCCGATCCCCGAATCCTCAACAATCCTCACATTCTGAATCCTCAATAGGCCGGTAACATATTTGTAACACTTGGTATTTCGGGTGCCTATGGGCGGCGCCGATTTCTTTCCGTCAGGTGATGTGTCTGCTCGTTTACCGGTTTATCCCATAAAAACCGTAAAAACAGCTAATGATAGTAATATAGATAGTACGTGATTATGCATCACGTACTGTGTACAAATATGGGATAGAATAATTCCGTTTCAAAGGTAAAAGTTAATGACCTCGATCTCTATTATAACAATGTTAATTATAAGTTTTTATATTACGTGACAATATTATCGCATTGGGTGTAACCTGTTAGGATGTGTTGATTTAAATAAATTAAAAAAAATGAAATATTTTTCGTCGTCGATTGTGTTTGTAATCACTTTTTCGGCATACATACGCCCATATAATTTATAGTATTTATAGAAGTTTAATAATATAAGTTTTTATTGTGGGGGGAAAATCATCCAATGACTTATCCCACCTTGGGTCAGGTGAGAAGGAGTGTCAGACTCTTAGTGACTGAAAACCACTCCATTCCTATTCTTGCTTTAAACCGAAACCCCAGTAACCCGTTAAGTTGTCCGCAGCTCCGAAAGTACGTATCATGGAAATGTGATTATGACAGCGATTTATCATTAAGATACTTTTACAAAACAAAACTTGAAAGCTATCAAACAAATGAATTCAAACGCAATGAAAATAAAGTTTTTCACAAAGAGCAATACATACCTAAATATAGACACCTAACATATAGATAAACATATAGATAACTAAACATATTCTCCTGCCTCTAAAAAAAACATTGCCAAGTCGAGCCTGAACAGTTATTCACAAGTTATTATTTCCCGAGAGTGACTTACTTGCGGCAAAGATTTACAGATTCCTTCAAGAATTATAAGAACAAAGCAAATCAACATTAGCTTTGTTAACGGGACTATATCTCACGGGACCCCGTGACAGTTAAGGCTCATTTACACGATACCATTTTCTTGTATATACAAGAGCAATAATTGAATTCAATACCGTAGTGTAATTACAGTGAAAGTAAATAACTATTTACTTTTAAGAATTGTTAGCAATTAAATTTATGTATTTTTTTTTAGTGCGACTGCCGGGCAAGGTGTCTCGGGTTCGATTCCCGGGTCGGGCAAAGTATTATTGGGGTAGGCAGAAGGGGTAGGCAGAGGTGCACATTATGCCACTGTATAATGTAACACCCACTTTTCACTATTTATGTTACGAGTCCCATGTAATAGGGGGTGATTTTAAAGTATTTTCTCATAATTTCTAGATTATTATATATTTTATATCGTAATCAAGTAGTTGATATTTTGTAACTAAAAAATAAGGGATATTTACTACTTTTGTTCAGTAAAATGTAGATAAAAAATATCTGCGACTTTAAAAAAAATAAAGTGTAATGTTTGTCAATCATTTTGATGTACTGAAAACTTATTTGAATTTATGGATAAACATGATTATTAATTTAGTATTACGAACATACGTAAATATGATACGTTCCATTCCAATACAAGGTATTAACCCGGTGCCACCGTCCCAATTTACGTAGCTTATTCCACTAGCAGGTGTTGATACAGGAATTCCGTCAATGAATTTACGTAGGTATGTTTGAGATCTTAAATTAAAGGAAATCTTATTACGAAATTCCGACATGTGTCGCAAGCTAAAAGCCGGGGCGAGGATCCATGTGAGCCTAATGAACGTGCTCGAAATTTATAACACTCTTAACCTTTTAGTTATTTTGCAAGTAAATTGGACCTCAAACGCGCTTACGTTAATGGGCGATAACTTCCCACACTTTATGCAGAAGAATATAAAAAAAAAACTAAAAAAATCTCAATGTTATCTTTGCTTCAAAAACAATTATCATGTTCATAATGAAGTGGTTTTACTTGCATATAAATTTGTGTCTTATCTTGTATTAGTAGTAACAAACCTTCCATATACTCGTATACCTAGGAATGACAAGGTCAATGGACGCTATTATTGTCGTCTGCGCAGTTATTTTCCTGTTATTGTCAGACTCCTACTTATTGATCATCTGTCTGTCAAAACTCTTGCCTACTTCCTCTCATTCTTTGCCTTCTTTGGGGTTCGGGAGGTTGAGATTAGCAATTTTAAAAATCTTCGGTCCATACCATGTACAAAGAGTTTCATTTGCAGAATTGCTTGTTATCAGTAGGAACACATTTGGGGACTAAACCAGAGGCATCGCAATTATTATGTTATAGGTACATACATGGATATATTAATTTACTTCGAGTAATAATAAAATACTTTTTTATATTAAAATTTTTATTTTGAATAACTAAATAGAGATTTTAGTCATTCAAATAAGTAAAACATATTTAAAATACTGATGTTTTTGTGTTATTATATATACGTGTTCCTGACAAAGCTTATCAGGTAACAAAATGTTATTTTATTTTTTTTTTACTTTCATGATTTATTGTTTTGAATTGTAATCAAACAATAACCAGGAGAATATTTACTCAAATAATAACTATAAAAATGTTTCTTTTTCTTTTTCACAATATGAATAAATTGAACTAAGAAATCATATGCAAAGTAACTTGGTCTTTAACTTATAATCTTTACGGTTATAAATTGAAGAATAGCGATTATCATTAGCGCAGCCATTCCTGGCTGGAAGGTGGAAGCTACTCCTGAGACGCTTCTAATCCATGTGGTGTAGTCGGCGACTCGAACGTATACCTCAGGTACACTATTACCTCGGCATTGCGTTGATACTGACAGGACACCTTGCAATGTTCCATTACACATCAAACCATTGCCTATGTCACCCTGTGAACAAATAAAAAATCAGTAATTTTGCTACACTTCTTTAATCCAGGATTCTTTATATAGTACCAAGCTTGGATAAAGAAGTCTTTTTTTAAAGGGGAAAATCATCGAATGACTGCTCCCGTTTGGGTGGGGCGGGAGGGAGCGTCAGACTCTTACTGACTAAAAACCATCCCGTTCCTTCTCCTGCACGTCGAGCAGGAGCCCCGGTAACCCGTTAGGTTCTTCGCGCCATGCATAGAGGAGTAGGTACTAAAAAAAATAATTTGTTGCCCCAAAGAAAATGCAGCAAATCCCATGACATATTTAAGTAAGTGACCTCTGTGAATCTCCACACCCCCAAATCCCCAATCCTCTAATCTATAACTCCCAAAATAGCAGCAACGTATTTGTGACTCTGCTTGTGGATTGTGCAGATTGCTTTTCATCAGATGGTTCACCTACTCGTTTGCCACCCTATACGTACCATAACAAAGATTTACATAGGAAAAATGTATTACGAAAACAAGAAACTGTTTTATACGAGGGTGATCCGCTGAGTTATGGAATAAAACGATAATCCCAAAATAATTGGAATGATAATATAACGCCTGAAGAAGATTTTGTGGATTACTCATATGTATAATTGTTTTATATATTTTTTTTATTTCAGGTACTTTACATAACATCACGCCTTTTAACCCTGAAAGGATAGGCACAGGTGCACATTATGACACACGCAAGTGCGACTGCCGGGCAAAGGGTCTCGGGTTCGATTCTCGGGTCGGGCAAAGTATTACTGGATTTTTAATAAAATCTCAGTAGTAGCACGGAGTCTGCAATTGTGCCCGGTATATGGCAATAGGCTCACCTCCTATTACATGGGGCTCATAACATAAATAGTGAAAAGTGGGTGTTACATTGTACAGTGGCATAATGTGCACTTCTGCCTACCCCTTCGGGGATAAAAGGCGTGATGTTATGTTATGTTGAATCTAACAGGAGGCAGAATACCTTCTGAGACTCTGTCTGATGAAATCGGGGATAGATATGCTCATCGAAGATTTTTATATCACTAATTCAATAGCAACGAAGCTTATGGACCATTTGATAAGAAACGGTAAGAATAACCCAATTATATTAGAAGCCTACAGTTCTGTAAAGTAATCTATTTTCGAATATAAACTTAGTGATAATTTGTATTAAACTTACCTCACATCCGGATGATACAACGTCCCAAGACGCTGCACACAACATACTGGGCAGTAAATTCATCTGAGAATTTATATTGTACTGGATGCTGCAAATATGCTGATCATAGACATACTTCGAAACGAAACGTTGAAGAGAACTTTCCTGAAAAAAAATAGGAATGTATTTACAAAAAATATAAAATGGAATAGATTTTTTTTAATGTGTAATTTATTTACATTACTTTTTAATAATCATTTTATAATTGCTAAAACATGAGTATGGTACCTATGTATCAAAATTGTAATTATTGAATTCCCAAAAAAGAACAGCATTTTAAGTTATAAAAGGAGGTTTTAAAACTTACAGTATATCTCATGTCTTCGGCTCCCCACCCAGCGACGTAGCATTGTGTCATAACAGGAACCTGAGAGCCTGCACTTGGCAAAGCCACCGGAGTTATTTCGTTTCCAAACGCAGAGTTAAGCTAAAAATCAATAATTATACTACAAATTAGTACAAAATAATATAATGTTAGCAATTATACAAGATTTATTGTAATGCAATAACTTTTCTAGTTGCGGCAGACAATTCTTATCTGACTACTCAGGGGCTTGAGTAGAAATTAATGTCGAAACAAATTCAGAAGCCAGTTTCAGTTTCTATTAAAATTGTATACGAGAATCGTGCAAGTTCATTCTGTAGTCTTTTGAGGACAGAACCACACTAGTACCTATAATTGTTACTAAACCTGTATTTGAGTGGACAATAGTTACAACAGAGTAATTATATGTATATTATGCCAGGTATTTTAGGTACGGTACATAATACTTACGCCAATTAGAGCAAGATTATTGACCAATGCCGGGGGCCCTATGTAGTTCGGGTGCAGAGTGATATTCACTGGGGTTCGTATCCGATTCATATTATTTTCCAAAAGATTGACGCTTCCGGCAAACACTCTATACTGGTTCAGAATAATCAATGGAGAGTTCCTATAGACAAACAAAGAAATATTAAATCGATATCTTCAACCTCAAAGTGTATCTATAAGATTTTTAGGAATATTTGTTTTTGGAACAAGACGTATAAACACATGACTAATGTCTAAATGGATTACTAAGTAAGGTATGATAAATTATTATTGTTAAAGATTTTATATTTAATCCGATAATTAATACTTATCAATGTTTCTTTGGGACAGCATGCAAACTTATCAGATAATTTCGGAAATTCGCCTTTTTGATATTTACTATTTTATTTATTTTTAGCACTTATTTACATGACATATAAAAATAAGGAGATATGTAAATATGTACTGTACCTACAACTTAAATAAAAAACGAATACTAATAGAGACAAATAAATAAAAGAAAACTAAATAAATAAAAGAAATAGGGCGATTCCTATTGACGTCGATGAGGTCGAATGGGTACGTTTACCCAGAAGGCTGGTAGCATTGCCACATTGTATGGCAACCCAGAACCGTCTTTACAATAAGGGCACTCGGGGTCCGTGTCCAGGGCCCCCATCTTTAGTAGGCTCCGAAGGACCGACAATTCGTACGACGGACACACGCCTGTTTGTTGCCCTGCAACGTGTAGCAGGTTCGATTCCCGCACGGAGCAAATCCTTGTGTGATCCATAAATGTGGTTTCGAGTGTGGTTGTCATTTATATATGAATGCACCCAAGATACAGGAGAAAATCCTTGTGTGGTGCAACGTAAAAAAATAACGTTGTAAAAGGGCCCCGAATTATTATGTGGGCCCCAGCGTAGTCTAAAACGGCCCTGGCTTAACCTCTTTGGATAGTTTATTTCTACTAGAATAAGATATACAAGAGAGAAAACTGAAGAAATAAGATACTCACGGTTCATGGGTCTCGTGTACACAAGTTCCAGTTGTCAACACATATGAACGCGTCACTAAAGTACCACCACATATATGTCCTTGGATGAATCTACTTGGATCTGCTCGTGATATATGTTGAATTGACACCTGAAAATATCGAAAATATCATCACCATATGAGCCTATTGTCATATACCGGGTATAAGTGTGGTAGAGCCATGCTTCGGCACGTATAGGCCGGCTCGACCGGAGTGATACCACGGCCTCATAGAAAACCGATGTGAAGCAATGCTTGCATTGTGTTTCGTCGTGTGAGTGAGGTTACCTGAGGTCCAATTACCTTCCCCTTCCCCAATTTCCCCAATCCCTGAATTCCCAACGATCCTCAAACTCCTAATCCCCAAAATGCCGGTAACGTAAGTACGTACGGATACCTGGAACACCAGAGGCGTTACAAGTGTAACGCCTCTGGTGTTCCAGGTATCCATGGGCGTCGCCGATTGCTTACCATCAGGTGATCCGTCTGCTCGTTTACCGGCTTATGCCATAAAAAATGAGTTACTTATATTATTGTGTAGGATCACAAAAAACTTCATTTGATCTATATATCCGTCGTCTCGCAATCGTCCTAATGATTCATTGTTTCATATCACAACCTTGATTGCAATAACGATTATCTAAAGTAAATTTTTAGATAAGATTTTTAGGATTAAATCAGCAATGGTAAATGAAGATAATATTGTTATCGACGTAGGTACTATGTACATGTACATACATACATTTGGATTTTTTAGACTGATTTGTTGGAAATGTATATCTATAGTTAAAAGGATAACCCATTTAGTTTCATGTTTTTTTTAATGCTAATGGATTTGTTTGGTGATATCGGCGGTAATAGGTAATTTCGAAAATCTATAAAAAAGAGTTTTAGGTTAGGTCATATCGTGAACATTAAAAGCTTACACATAACATAACACGCTCTTTATCCCGGAAGGGGTAGACAGAGGTGCACATTACGGCACTTAATGCCACCATACAATGTAACACCCACTTTTCACTATTTATGTTATGAGTCCCATGTAATAGGGGGTGAGCCTATTGACAAATACCGGGCGAAATTTCAAACTCCGTGCTACTTCTGAGATTTTTAATTTTTTGCCCAGTAATACTTTGACAGATCCGGGAATCACACTTGCTTCCACTCGGCCAACGAGGCAGAGCATTAAAAGATTACTAGTTACCTACATTAATACATTATGATAAAAAATATATTATGTAAATGTTGTATTGTTTAATTCGACGAGGGACATGAAAAGACTGATGACTGTTGATGAAGCGGTTTATAAAAATCGTAACAATTGGCGTTCCATAGTCTCTGAATCTGTCTCACGCCTGCCTCCTTATAGGCGAAAGGAGTGAGGTTATATACGTATGTTGTTTAATCCATTTTTCTTTGAAACTTCAATCGTCTACTTTATTTTATTAAGCGTTAAGCATATCGAAGTATTAATAATAATTATTAAATAAATCTCACCCCCTATTTATTACATGGGACTCGTAACATAAATAGTGAAAAGTGGGTGTTACATTGTACAGTGGCATAATGTGCACCTCTGCCTACCCCTTCGGGATAAAAGGCGTGATGTTATGTATTAAATAAATCCAATATTCGTTTCGGATTTGAAACAATATATATAGTACAGTTTTTGACTACTGGACTATTAGGTATTTACTCAATGTGCTAAGTAATTTATGCGATAATAATGTTTATTGTGTATTGTGTTAGGTGCGAGAATAGTTTGTACTTACTGCAGAGGGGAATTGATTTAGAGCTGCTAAATTTCCTCCGGAGATACGTTCTACGTTCGCTGTGGTTGCGCCTAAAAAATAAAATAAAGTATACTTAATGAGTGTTATTGGTTAAAAAAAAATATTTAACACGTTTTGTATGTGTAGGTAACAGCGATCGCCACAATGAAAACAAGGAAATTGACAAAATAATTTTCTTGAAACACGTCTTTGAACCTAAAGCACATAATATAAAAACGTATTATTTAGATACTTCCAATATATTAATTTTAGAATACAAGTAAATCAACAAACCGCATAGCGCCAGGACGAAAATCCAAAACATTTTAATTGTAGTCGTAATAAAAAAATAATAACACAAAACGTCGATCAGTCTGCTATCACCCCAAGATTACGACTGACGCTACATATGAATAATATTTTTATCAAAATATATTATCTTATCACACTTCCAAAACATGGTATCATCAAACATTATCGATTTTTATTGCGCTTTTGCTTACGTTCACCTAGGAATTTGAAATCAAGTTCATAGGTACTTAATACACATGACATTGGACACTTGACGATCCATATTGGACATTACAGACTAAGGGTCAATTTTTCTAACGCCAGATAAATTTAACAGAGGAATAACTTTGATCAAATATTCTTCCATAGAAAAAACTGTCGTATGTCAATTTTTTTCTACAGCTAAGAAATAATTTGGCTTGAAGATTAAAAAATTAGCCTTTAGTCATTATCTACAGTTTCATTTAATACGTATTATTTTTTGTATATTTCCCCTATAAAATTTAACGTCCTGTTTTAAGGCTTGTTTCACAATATCTGAATAGCTGCTATGTACCAGAAGAATGGCGGGCACTTAAGTATAAAAGTCGGACTTTACACTAACATTAAATGTAATATCATTATCATTTGAAAGTGTGGCAGAGCCATGCTTCGGCACAAATAGGCCAGCTTAACCGAAGTGATATCACGGCCTTACAGAAAAAACGACGTTTCATCGTCTGATAGAGGTTTTTGGAGGCCCAATTGTTTCTCCCCCCTTTCCCCCATCCCTGAATCGCTAACAATCCTCAAATTCCTAATCTCAAAAGGCCGGTAACGCACTTGTAACGCCTCTACTAAATTCCAGATGTCCATGGGCGACACCGATTGCTTATCATCAGGTGATCCGTCTGTCCCTTTACCGGCTTATCCCATAAAAAAAACATCCATTGGTAAGCATTTGATGGTCACCAAGTCTATGTCACGTGGATTTAAATTTAATTATCATAAGTATGGAGATGTTGGTAAAATCACACTCCAAATATCGGTAAGTTAATGGTACGAAACCCTTAATTCGACTGCACGGTGGCTGAGTAACCGGCTATCATCATCGACATCGATCATCGCCCAGTTTTGTACAGTCATGACTGTACAAAACTGGGCGCTTATTCATAAAACTAATCTCAATGTAATTTTCATTTCAATCCAATAAATTTTCAATAATTATTCAATGTCAACACTATACAACGCCAATCGTAGTTATTAAAATAGCATGATACAGAACACGCAATTTAAAGCCAAACTCTATTTAATTCGTTCAATATCCACGCAATACGGGTGCAATTGGAGCTAGTGCTGCACTCAAGGGTACGAAAATTCACATCGGAATTGGATTCAAGAGTAATCCTCCTGGACTGTGTACGCAGATGGTGCGTGTAGTCGGTCCTTAAGTGCTTGTTCACGTTGTAAGAACGCGTGGGCGCGGTAGCGGATGCGGGTGCGGTAGACAGTGTTCACGTTAACAGCCATACGCCAGAAGTTCAAATCGGTTGAACCACAATAATAGTAATAATCTGAAACCTATAGACATGGAAGATTTTGAGGATACGGCTAAGATAAATAATATTAGATCACTTAAGGCTGTTTTAACCAAATACCCCCAAACTATTACTTAAATGAAAGTAGCTTAGGTAAGGGTTTTTTTTTAATTTAGGAAAGGTTTGGTAGGTTATAATTAAATAGATCGGACTAACTTACCTGTGACGTCCGATCCTCAATTGTGTAGGTAGCGTCATCCTCGCTAATTATACTAGTAGTAGGCACTAATCTGGGCACGCTGTCACAATATTTAAAGATGAACACATTCATAAAAAAAATATTTATACTCTATGGTCATCTCACTGGCAACATCATTTACTTCAAAGCACCTGCAACTGCAACACAACTCGACCAGGGGTAAAAATAAACATGTTTATTATCCGGGAAGGGTTGGGACCTAGCGAGGATGACGCTACCTACACAATTGAGGATCGGACGTCACAGGTAAGTTAGTCCGATCTATTTAATTGTATAGGTAGCGTCATCCTCGCTAATTATACTAGTAGACGTTCAAAGAAGGAGTTGTGTTGACAAACAACACTGTTTAATCATTGAACATTGTTGCACTTAAACAAGATATATGACATTGTCAATAACATCAATATCTCACGAGTACTATATAGTACTAGTAAAAACTTAAGCAATAATCAAATTACGTTTATAATTTCCCCAAGATGTAAGCCACTAAACCATTATTAGATATAATAGCTACTTATGGTTATGGTATTGTTTTCAATCATTTTTATCAAATAAAAATACTTATAAAATTAAATACATTTTAAAAATAGTATTAAAAATAAACAGAAGCCCAAAGCACGGGTTATCTTAGTTTGGGTTCCTGACTTTCATCATTGTATTGTCAGGTAAACTGCATTAACCCTATGTAGAACCAAAGTGAAGTGAAGAGAAGAAACAAGCTTATGTCAATATTATAAGATTAATATTAAGATCTACATCATTATGTATTGTGATGGAAAAATAATTAAATGTCCTTATTTATTAATTTAATTATTTAGTAAGCATAGCAACAATATTATTATCTTGAAATTCTGGTGTCCACTACACCAACTATAGGTACACCTACTATGTACGTTTTGAACTATAACGTTGTTCAAATTCAGTCTATTGCGAAAATTTAACGTCTTTCAATAGGTTGTTTTCTTCAAAATTATCAGTTTCTTTTTTTTTTTTTTTTTTTTGTATATATATTATCTAACTTCTCCATTTTCAGTAGATCTACATTATGATCATGACTCCATACATAGTGATATACAGAGCTAATAAGCTCATGCAATATTAGGATTGTTGGTGGAAAAATGGATTGACTGACCAGGCAGTCGTCTTACTTAAATATATGACTTTGATACTGATTGATACATCTCTGTGAGGCTTTAGAAGAGGTTGAGAGTCCACTGTTATAGTACTAGACATACATTCACTTGAAATTGTAGAATATGATTGATCCCAGAACAATGATTTAAAAATTGTTCTTAAAAATAAAAAATAGTAGGTAGGTAGGTACTATTAAATATGGTTCAGGTTTATTGGCATTATCATTTAGGTACAATCTATAGTGATAGAGATAGTGTGAATTATATGTGCTAATTAATTGATGTTTTAAACTAAAGTTTTAAGCTAAGATTATCATTGGAGTACATACAGGTACATAATAATATTGATTTATTTAGATTGTCATGTACACAATACAATAAAGTTACGGTACATGGTGAACTTGATTCCAAGTGGCATATTCTACCAGTAACCCTCAGGGTTTTAAATAATAATTGTAATAATACACAATTATGTACCTATTTTAGAATAAAACTGGAACCGCACACCACATATTAAAGTTTCTTTTTCTTTTTGGCCTTAATTTGTATACACTTCTAAAAAATCTTGTAGGTAGTTTCTTAATAATTTCACACAAGAGGACCTAGGACTAATGAAGTACCTATCTAATAGTATTCAATAAACTGTATGATAGGTAAATTTAGAAGTAAAAATATAATAATCACAACGGATACATATGCTGAAAAAGTCAAAGCAAAGTCGTATTGCTGTTTTGTTTTACTTTACAATGTGATGCTAGCATTATTCCCATAGAATGCAGTACCTATTCCTTTTCTTAGGAATTCATTCCTGATTATATGGTGGTGACTACATTGTATATGTTGTGTAAAGTGGGTGAACTTCTGGAAGGAAACAACCAGAGATAACACTAGAACTTAATGAGGTTCAGAAACTTGAGTTGAACCGTGGGTATCAATAATGGATCCTAATAACCTTTGCATATACCCCCCCCCCCTTTATCTCTTTATGACTTTTAAAATTCCGAAAAGAAGGAGGGCATGGAAAAAGAATCTTCCTGCACTTACTGAATAGTGAAAACAACAGTAAAGATATCAGGGTCAGGAACCCATGATACATATATTTCAGTCTCTTATACTTGTTTGCCTATAGATCTTTGGCGTGATACACCAAGTGGTTTTGGAGGCAAACTTTGATTTAAACTCGTGCGAATGGGACATCTGAGTTTATTTAGGTATTTCTTTACCGGCCTTATTTTCTTTTAAGGTGTAAACATTTATTCTAGATTAACTTAAATAACAAGTGTTCAAGTTCTTTTTGGTAAAACAGAACGTATTTGACATCTGATGTTTTAATGTCAACATGTCAAACAAACGTAAATATTGTTTACAGTGAATATTTTGTTGTGCGTATTCGCTTAATAGTTATTATATTGGCCTTACAATTTCAATTATTAACCTAATTTTAACATGGAGCCAGCCAAATTCCATAGCTGGGCGAGCAAACAATGTTAACTTTAAAGTTGAACGGAATCAAAAATCTGCAACTTTTTGTTTAGGTCATACAATTTTCATTATACTTGTAATAAAATCCACCTTTTTAAGTGGCACTTATATAGAGTTGTCTAGAGTAAGAAATTAATCCTATATACTGAAAGAATCACCCTTTTCAGTATAAATAATATTTAATACTATACCAAGTTTACAAGAATACTTCTGTAAGGTTCTGTATTAGTAATATAGTCTAGACATTTCTTATGTTCTGCAAAATTAAGGAATATCATCAACATAATTTCGTGTAATCAATACTATACAATGTATAAGGTTACTCTTTGGGAAGACAAATAAGAACCGCAAATGTTTGTCATTCACCATTTTCCTTCACTGATATTAAATAAAATGCATTCTTAAGTTGATCATGCATCTGAAGACACTTCAACATATGAGGAGTTTTAGAAATGGTTCTAGATCCATTGTTTATATTAATAGTAACATAATTTATTATAGTCCTTAATTATTTAATTGCCTGAAGGACCATTTGTTCTGGAATGTGAAGATAAACTGGCAAGTAATCACTTAGTCAGTTATCTACATATATGGTACAGTACAGCACCTTAGCTTTAACAATTTTCCTTCAGAAGTAAAATTATTTTGCTTTTACACCTATGTGGGTATTTTGTGGTATATTTGTCTGAACAGGAATATCAGTGATGGTAATTTATACCTATTAATCCAACTAAGTATGGTTGGGAAACCTAAAGCAGAACTCTATTGTTCAGAAAGGTAATGTGATCTACCTGTACTAGCGATGATCCGGACCTCAGTGCTGTGGGTAGAATTAGAAATTCTGTAGAGGATGCATCGGCCTTGTTGATTTTCTTGTAATCATGTGTTCGCTTTAGTTTTGGTTTTTGCTCACACACACACACACACACACACTTGTTGTTTGTACATCACACAGTGTTTGTTGATGTGGTTGGCATGAAGTTGGTAGTCTAAAAGGTTTTCTTGGATGTTCTCCAATTCAAGTTTAGACTCTCTGATAGCTTTACTTGCAATAAACTTGTCTTGAAGCACTATTTATTACTGTATATATAGCTAGAACACCTATTTGTGTTCTGATCTTCATTCAGGGGCACATGTTAATAATTTACAGAGCAGTCTGGCTGTATCCTTAAAATCTTTAATAGGTTTGTTAATTAATTTGCGAACAGTAACTGCTCCTAGAGTCATTTGATATTCACAATCCTATCGTCTCACTCAATCCCATCTTTATTTAGTGGCACCTCCTCCCCTCCTCATTTATTTGAGACATTGGGAGGAATTAGGTTATAATAATTATGAAAAGGGAAAATAAGTGTAATCATTTGATAAGAATGGCTTTGTCCAACATGCAACACTATGGAATAGCTGGCTAAGGAAATGTCCCATTTCCCATAAGCATAGGTAGCAATTGCTCCGGAGTATATTTACTGACTGGAGCGAGACTATAGGAGTAGTTTCCAACTCATGTTGATTGGCTTCGGTGCCATGCCATGGTGAGCGGCTTCAACTGGAATGGCTTCATGTTCTTCTGAGGCAAAGCGAACTGATTTTAAGTTTCTAACTGCAAGGTAGTTTAAATGATCCACGGCTAACCTCTCGTGAAAGCTCTAGGATTGCAGTTGGAAATGTTTGACTAAATGTGACTTAAACCCGTGGCTAACCTCTCGTGAAAGCTCTTGTGGTTTGCTTCAAAGTCAAGTAACCAACGGCTGACCTCTCGTGAAAGCTCTTGTGGTTCGTTCCAAAGTCAAGTAAACCAATGGCTAACCTCTCGTGAAAGCTCTTGTGGTTAATTCTATAGTAGAGTTACCAACGGCCAACCTCTCGTGAAGGCTCTTGTGGTTCGATCTACAGTAAACATGTAACCAACGGCCAACCTCTCGTGAAGGCTCTTGTGGTTCGATCTATAGTAAACATGTAACCAACGGCCAACCTCTCGTGAAGGCTCTTGTGGTTTAATCTATAGTAAACATGTAACCAACGGCCAACCTCTCGTGAAGGCTCTTGTGGTTTCGATCTATAGTAAACGTGTAACCAACGGCCGACCTCTCGTGAAGGCTCTTGTGGTTTAATCTAGGTATATAGAAAACGTATAACCAATGGCTCACCTCTCCTGAGGGCTCTTATGGTACGTTTCAAGTGTGTATGTTGCGTACACAATCATTCTCAAGGCTATCCGCTTGTGGAAGCTATTGGAAAACGCCCCACAATGTGGTGTAAGTACCTACAAGAAAAAACTTACCAAACTGACGACAACGAATGCGTCCTCTCGCCGGTTTCGCCCAATTATCCAATTCCTGCATACACTCCATCAGTTTTCCTATCTGCTTGCGACGTTTTCGACCCATTTAGTAGGAAAATCACCAAATTAAATTGAAAAATTTTCCAGGGTACGACGTGACAGGTCGTGCACAAAGAAGTACAATGATGTTGCCAGTGAGATGACCATAGAGTATAAATATTTTTTTTATGAATGTGTTCATCTTTAAATATTGTGACAGCGTGCCCAGATTAGTGCCTACTACTAGTATAATTAGCGAGGATGACGCTACCTATACAATATGGCATTAGTAACTTACTAATATTATAAATGCGAAAGTACTAACGTTATATATGTTACTCGATCACGTCAAAGCAATTGAAGGAATCTGGATGAAATTTAGAACAGAGGTGGTATGGTCTGAAATAAGAATTAGGCTACTTTTTATCCAACGGAAGTGCGAGCGACGTTGGTGGCAGAAACTAGTTACAATATAAGTGGGATAGTTAAACCTGCCCTAAAACTTGTCCTTAACTTGAAGGAAGAGGTTTTACATTTTTTTTTATAATACGTTGCCCCCCACTGGGATTGTCTTCTGTGTCGTGGGTGCGTTTACAAACATACAAGTTCGTATTGACATGACACCCGGGCCCGGAACCACAATCTGTGGATTACACAAAGAGTTTTTCGGTGCGGGAATCGAACCTGCGACACATTGCGCACAGTCAGACCAATCACCGGGCCAACCGTACAGTCTAAACATAAATGTGTTTAGGTAGATTCATGCTGAGACAGACATTGAGCATCATTTTCATGACGTGAGACAGAGTACAAGGCCTGGCAGTCTGAAATTACTCTCCAACTACTTATTAGAGCACGTTGGCGCAATGGCTGAGTGACTGGTCCATCCCTGTGTCTCAGAAAGCTCATAAAGCCTTTGGTCCAGAGCCGTCTCTCTGGTCGTGTTGGTCTGCGATCTCATCGGGTTCTGGGAGTGAGGGTATAGAGTGCAGTTTGCGCTCACACTCGTGCACTATAATATTACCAACGTAGTGGAGTAGTCTAGTCAGACCTGCCACGATGGTCGAAATCAATCGGAAGGTTTATAAATTAGTGAATGATTAAAACAGTGCCTATTAAAAAGAAACCCTGAAGGATTCATATGTACAAAAGTGGTGAGTAAAAGCGATTTTTAATATACAATTACAGATATATTTGACACAGTCATATTGTTTGATAAAAAACTTCATATTATTTCTAGGTATCTAAATTAGATAAGATTATACAAATCCATATACATATAAGTATATAATAATTGCAGGAAAATAAGTAGTGTCTAGTTAGTCATTGTAGTGACAGAATAGGTGTATCAAAATGTATACATTTTTATTATTGTGTGTGGTTGCTTTTTGCGGTGAGTATTATAATAATATAGTTCTGGTTTAGCCAGGTCTTATGTAGATTTTGATGTTGCTGAATGCATCGATTTTTGTCTATCCCTTTGCCTCAACAATAACGAACACTTATAATAACTATCGTGGGACATACTAAAATCATTAAAAGCCCCGGTTTGCTTACGCGAAATAATGTGAAAAACTACTATTTTCGAGTCACAGAGGGAGTCTTCATTATGAGCGGTGGTTGCGGACGCGGCATAATAAATACCTGTTTTTAATTAATAACGGATATGACACAAAGTATTATTTAATACTGCCTCGTAGGCCGAGTGATCGCAAGTGCGACTGCCGGGCAAAGGGTCTCGGGTTCGATTCCCGGGTCGGGCAAAGCATTACTGCGTTTTTTAAAATTCTCAGTAGTAGCACGGAGTCTGGAATTGTGCCCGGTATATGGCAATAGGCTTACCCCCTCTTACATGGGACTCATTACTTAAATAGTGAAAAGTGGGTGTTACATTGTACAGTGGCATAATGTGCACCTCTGCCTACCCCTTCGGGGATAAAAAGCGTGATGTTATTTATTTTTATTTTATTATTATTTAATAACAGCGGGTAACAGCCTGACACTCCCTTTCGTCTCACCCATGATAGGAGGAGTCATCCGATGATTACCTTCCCTAATAACTATCCCCGGCTGCATTTAGCTTTCATCTGGCCTAACTAGAAGTCATTAGAGGATGTGTTGTCTAAGTGTTTTAGCAGTAGCAGTAGTATTAGTATTTATAGTAGTATGATTATGAATCTTTATGATAGAGCAATAAAAATATTGAGCACGTAATTATTGTTATTTTACAGTTACTCAATCATCATAATTATTATTGTGTTTTTACCCGATTGTTTTATTATATTGTTTTTCATATTTTATGGTACCTTATATATAAAAGTATAATAGTATTTTAAATAAATATACCGACAATAATGATTTTTACCAGGCGTCAACAGTTACACACTTCAAGGGGCTGAGCGGATCGCACAAGGACAAATCAGAAATGGCATACAATATGTGGTAAATATCTTTTAAAATGCTTTTAATAAAATCTAAGAATTATATCATATCATATTAAACTAAACTTAACCATAACTAAACCATATCATATTAAACTTGTTAATATTTTGCCATCGAGATGATCTGATTATAGGACTGAAAAGATACAACTATTTGTATGTTGGACGGGCCACTGGCAATCAAATCGGGTTTGAGCTCATTGGGTAATTCCGTTTCTCCTGATTTTTTCTGTGATGGACTTCTAAGTATTATTTTATCATTACATTTGTTATGAAATGTTGAGCCTAATAATACAGTTTAAAAAAACCTTTTTATTTTATGTAATCTTATCTATTTATCAATCATAAGGATCGGTAATAAGCCCATCTTTTATTTGAATAGGACGGTATGACTTAAGACTCGATTGTCCACGGATGACGCAGATCACCATTGATCCATCAGCTCGATTACCTCCTATTTCATAAATAAAACAATTAAGATACATAGGTCTGTACCGTTTTGAGATAGGTACTACAAACTGTAATTCATTCTATCTCCTACAGTAATTCACCGAGGGAAGTGGAAACTATAGTTGTTTCTTCTTCTCCTCTTATAATATCTTCTGGTTCACTTCGTTGCGAGAACCAAGACAGTCCTACTCATGTTCCTGGAACGCGCCGGACTTCAGTGTTCCGGTGTTTTCATGGTTGTATCTGCTGTAGATCCTGGCTTAAAGAAGTTGCAGCGGTTTCGGGAGGCTGTGGCGGGCATGTCCCATTACAAAAAAATACTACAAACGTAATTACCTAATGTTAAATAATATTTTCTATTTTTAGATATCGTTACAAGACAAAAGTCAACTACAAATCAACACAAGAGGTCATAGATGTGGAGGTGTCTTGATCACTCAACAGCATGCATTGACAACAGCAGCATGCACAATGAACACCAATACAGGGTTGGTATTTTTATATAAATAAATATAAATAATTTAATACACAAGAAAAAATCAATAAAATTATTATCAATTCAGGAAATTATTTATGATCAGTAAATAGTTAAATTATCATTTGAGTCACATTTGAGTCATATACAAAAGTGTCTGTTTATGTAATTTTATTGTAGGTCATTTTCTGATTAAGATTACAAGATGATAAACCATATATATAGGTAATATAACAACTATACGACACGAAATTTGTTACCTTTTTTGTTAACGAAGTAATATGATTTATGACTGTTACAGGGTATCCATCAACTTTGCCAACTTTAGAGTTTTCGCTGGGACAGTTCTTACAAATGATAATGCTAACAACGTTCGTGACATAGCTACTATAACTATCCACCCACAATACACCAGACATATACCGTTTGTCAACGATATTGCTGTTATTACAGTAAGAAATAATTTTTTTATTATTTATATTTTACAGTTATAAATGTCTATTATGTAACAAATTGTCAATGTTACATTTCAGCTACAAGCTGCTTTTCCGACCTCAATAAGCCCTTTGCCAATGCCACTTGCGGATGTTGCTCTTACTGCGTGTGAGACTGCTGGTTTTGGAGCTCATAATACGACAGCTACTGTAAGTATAGTCTTTTTCATATCCCTTTAATAAACGGTTTCATTTAGCTTGCCCTATTTGTTTATTTGGGTCCAATTTAGTAATTGGAATTTTAACCCCCTTCCTGACAACATATCGATCCGATTTTTAGTAACTTCACACTCTTCTTCAATCTTAATTAGTATACTGTACTATAATATATTTATTTCCACAGCTACCTCCATTATAATTATGTAGATCAAGCTAAAGGGCTAGATTGGTAAAAAGCTCATTAAAACCGATCAATATATTTTTTTGTATGTTAAACATGTTTTGTACAAAAGTATAATACAATATTACAAGGATCTTTTTCTATTTTAGGCCAGTGTGCAATTGATGAGTTTGTCGGGAGTAGCTTTGACTGGATAAGCGCAGTGCAATACTCTACTGCAACAGTCAGGAGGTGCTACAAGTGTACAAGTTTTGCCTAACATGATTTGCGGAACTGCTAGTGGGGTAGGATGCACGGTAAGATTTGTGTATTTTTTCAATTTATTATGTACCTAATTCTAAGAATGTAACTATAAAATCTTGTTCATATTTATTTGGTTTTATAACTATGCGAAATTAGGTTTCTTAGTAAGTTTGTGTAAGGAGGTTCTTGAAACCAATTCCGATCGATCGACTTTGGTATTTTGAAATTTCGTACTCTTGGGTCGTAACTCGTGAAACGTGAAACGTATTGCTTGGATATTTAATTAACTAAATGGTTTGGTTTAATATTCCATACTCTGAATGCTATTTCAACAGCTACGATAGGCGTTGTATAGTTTTGACATCGAATAATTATTGGGATTTTATTGAATTGAAATTACATTGATATTGAGATTGGTTTCAATAATAAGTACCTCCTTCTTCCGGTCTTGTGTTGACTCAACCGTGAATGAATTTAATATCGTAAACTCACCATGCAGGTTTTACTAATGTATAATATATCTTATTGTCAGTTAAATTGTAATGGTGTTTTTTTTTAATTGCAGGGTGATCTGGGGAACCCACTAGTATGTAATAATAATCAGGTTCTCACAGGGTTACTAACTCGAAGCAACAATTGTACTTTAACGGGTTTACCAGAAATCTACACCAGAATTCACGAATTCATACCGTGGGTGAATCAAGTGCTCAATGCGACGACTACTACTACGACCACGACAACTACAACGACAACAACAACGACACCAATGCCTCCGATAATCGTCACGACGCCTGCACCAGGATCAGCATTCACGTCACGACTCGGAACTGCTGTAGCACTTACATTTGTACTCATCCAAAGCCTCAATCTTCTAAGTTAAAATTAAAGTACTCGTAATATTTATTGTTTAGTTACCTACATAATGTTTATTATTAATTATAATTATTAACATTAACACATTAAACATTTATATCATTTTGTTTTTTTTATATTTGAGGGGATCATTATATGTATATTCACTGGTCGAAAACAAATCGTATGCAACATTTAAGTTTCTATCTAATCTAGTTTACCAGTACATAGTTGTTTGGCTTACTTGATTTAATATCCTGTGTCCCCTAGATGGGGCAGAGGGCGACGACTAAAGATCTCCATCGCGATCTGTCGCTCATTGCTTCTGCCAGTACGGTGCGACGCCAGGTTTGCCGAGGACGGCCACGCTTTGGGGATTCCAGTCCAAGGTTTCCTAGGGTATGCGTTCGGGATCCTTTCGGAGTGATCCGCCAGATTAAGCGATGCAAGTGGGGTTCCGTTTGATAAGACCTCCTTTGTCCACATTTTATCAAAAAGAGGCGTCAGGACGCCGACAGCGGAGGATAACTCGGCTTGAAACATTTCCACGGGTATTAAGTCGAGTCCTGGTGCTTTGGCTAATTTCAGGCCTTGAGAAATTTAAGCCGGCAATCCAGCAGACGGATCACCTGATGGTAAGCAATCAGTGCCGCCCATGGACACCCGAGACACACAGAGGCTTTACAAGTGCGTTATTGGCCTTTTGGAAATTGGAAATTGAAAATTTGACGATTGTGGGGGATTCGGGGATTGGGTACACTAAGGTAATTGGGCCTCCGGTAACCTTACTTATACGAAATAACATAACGCCGTGGTATCAATCCGGTCAAGCCGGCCCATTGATGCAGAAGTATGGCACATCTCCCACACTTAAAAATATTAAGCCAAACTCCATTTAGTTCATTCAATACCCACGCGATTTTTTTTAAGGGGGGAAAATTATCGCATGACTTCTCCCACCTGGGTGAGGTGAAAGGGAATGTCAGGCTCTTGCTGACTAAAAACCACCCCGTTCCTTCTCCTGCACTTCGAGCCGGAGCCCCGGCAACCCGTTAGGTTCACCGCGACTCCGAATCGGCATCAGCCCTATTGGGCCCCATTCGTGGTGGTCTGATGGCTCTTTGAGGCCCGTACCCTCGGGTCTGGTTCTGGTCGGGTGGCGAGCTACCCATGCTCGTCGTCCGCACGTCGTCGTTACGGTGGCCGGAGATCGTCTCGCGAATATCCATGCGATACGGGTGCAATTGGAGCTAATGGTGTTCTCAAGAGTACAAAATTTCACATCGAAATTGAATTCAAGAGTAAGCCTCTGGACTGTGTAGGAAGATGGTGCGTGTAGTCGGTCCTTAGTGCTTGTTCACGTTGTAAGAACGCGTGGGTGCGGTAGCGGATGCAGGTGCGGTAGACGGTGTTCACATTAACAGCCATACGCCAGAAGTTCAAATTGGTTGAACCACAAAAATAAACTGCCTCGTTGGCCGAGTGCGACTGCCGGGCAAGGGGTCTCGGGTTCGATTCCCGGGTCAGGCAAAGTATTACTGAGTATTTAAAAATTCTCAGTAGTAGCACGGAATCTGCAATTGTGCCCGATGTATGTCAATAGACTCACCCCTTATTACAAGAGACTCATAACATAAATAGTTAAAAGTGGGTGTTACATTGTACAGTAGCATAATGTGCACCTCTGCCTACCTCTTCGGGGATAAAAGTCGTAATGTTATTTTATATGCAACTTACTAATATTATAAATGCGAAAGTTTGTGAGAATGTATATGAGTGTGTGCGTATATAAGTTTGTTACTGATTCACGCAAAAACAAATTACCGGATTTAGATGACACTTCACAGTAATGTAGGTCATTCATTATACATATAGGCTACAATTTATAATGATTTTACGTTATTTTGGGCGTAATGTAATACGAAATGTTAGTTAAGTCAGATCGAAATCGGGCCTCTGGGACTTATCTGGGCATACGCTGCCTAAACCATAGGTATAATGTACTGTAAAATTATTATTTGTCTTGATTAGTTCTAAATAAAAGACCGCAACTGCATATACATATGTTACTTTAATGTGGAAATCACTATGCCGATTTTTAAGAATATTAATTACTAGCTGTGCCCGCGACTTCGTTCGCGTGGTTGTCGAAAACAAAACAACATCGTTTAGATAACAGTGGGCTATATACATATGAACTCCACTCAAGAAGGTGGTATAGAGGTAGTATGGCTCGGCTTGGTAGCAGGTAGTTCTACGGATTTAAATCTGCTGTATTATACAAATTATATATGCGAATCTTTTAACTGTGAAACGCAGGTTGACTAGGTATATGCGGATTTTTCTAAGGTTCTTGACCGTGTGGACCATTCTATTCTAGCAATATCCCGTGGTATGGGAATGCATGGCAATCTATATAGATGACTTATCAACTTGTTGAATTGTTCCCAAATGGTTAATCTCAGTGGATATGACTCTGTTCCATATCGGGCAACATTGGGCGTTCCTCAAGGATCCAACTAAGGACCGTTGATGTTTTAAATTTTTGTTAATGACTATTGAATGTGATCAAAAGTGAGTGTCTGACCTAAGCTGATGACATAAAGTTATTTAAACATATGCTTGATCGTGGTGACTGTGAAACTCTCCAAACAGACATCGATAAGTACAATGTAGATCAGTTGAGATACCATTTATTTTTATTACGGGTAGGATATCCGTAAAGAAATGTGTAATAAAATATGAAATAAGATGTTTCACGTTTCAATACTACCTACTATTTTGGTTTTATTAGATCTAATCCAGGTACCTATACGTATTTTATATCTATGGAGCCTGATCATTGGTCTGGTGGTGAAACGGACTACAGAGAATTTAGTTATGCAATTCTCTTATACACAGTCATCGAAATGTATTGAAAAATAGGGCATGGTCCTTCAGATAAAAATAATCGTTCCAATACTAGAATAAAAAGTTAATTTGTCGTAAAATAGGAAGGGTGTCGAACAAGAAATACACGGAATAACAGTAGATATGTATGTTTAATGTTAGTCTTAATAATTAATAATAAATATTACATAACAAAACAATAAATATTAACTTAGAAGATTGAGGCTTTGGATGATTACGAATGTAAGTGCTACAGCAGTTCCGAGTCGTGACGTGAATGCTGATCCTGGAGCAGGCGTCGTGACGATTATCGGAGGCATTGGTGTCGTTGTTGTTGTTGTCGTGGTTGTAGTGTTGTCTGGAGGTGGTGGGGTCGTGGTTGTCGTGGTTGTCGTGTTCGCTGGAGGTGGTGTAGTTGTAGTGGTCGTAGTGGTCGTTGTCGTAGTAGTTGTCGTCGTAGTAGTTGTCGTCGTCGTGGTGGTAGTCATCACTTGATTCACCCATGGTATGAATTCGTGAATTCTAGTGTAGATTTCTGGTAAACCCGTCAAAGTACAGTTGTTGCTTCGAGTTAGTAACCCTGTGAGAACCTGATTGTTATTGCATACCAATGGGTTCCCCAAATCACCCTGCAAATAAAAATAAATTCGCTATTATAATATAACTGACAATAACTTATATCATTATTCATTGATAATATTGTATTAGCATTATTAAAAAAAATCGGGATAGATAGACCAAAGTCGACATCGTGAGTTTACGATCTTAAACTCATCCACGGACCCTGAATATGCACATCACGGTTGTGTCAGCATACGACCGGTTGTTCTGACGCAAACTAACTAGGATTCCTGATCCTGCATAGCTATATAAAGGAACAAAGATGAACAAGACTGTATACCTAGTTATATTTCTACTATTACATTAAGTGTGGGAGAGCCATGCTTCGGCACGAATGGGCCGGCTCGACCGGAGTGATACCACGGCCTCACAGAAAACCGACGTGAAGCAACGCTTGCGTTGTGTTTCGTCGTGTGAGTGAGGTTACCGGAGGCCCAATTACCTTCCCCTTTCCCAATCTCCCCAATCCCTGAATCCCCAACGATCCTCAAACTCCTAATCCTCAAAAAGCCGGTGACGCACTTGTATCGCCTCTGGTGTTCCAGGTGTCCATGGGCGACGCCGATTGCTTACCATCAGATGATCCGTCTGCTCGTTTACCGGCTTATGCCATAAAAAAAAACATAATAATTTGAACAAATAAACGATTCTTACCGTACATCCTACCCCACTAGCAGTTCCGCAAATCATGTTAGGCAAAACTTGTACACTTGTAGCACCTCCTGACTGTTGCAGTAGAGTATTGCACTGCGCGTATCCAGTCAAAGCTACTCCCGACAAACTCATCAATTGCACACTGGCCTAAAATGGAAAAAGATCCTTGTAATATTGTGTTCTGCTCGTTGCCTCGTTGGCCGAGTGGTTGCAAGTGCGGCTGCCGGACAAGGGGTCTCGGGTTCGATTTCCGGGTCGGGCAAAGTATTACTGGGTTTTTAAAAAAAATCTCAGTCGTAGAACGGAGTCTGGAATTGTGCCCGGTATATGGCAATAGGCTCACCCCCTATTACATGGGACTCATAACATAAATAGTGAAAAGTGGGTGTTACATTGTACAGTGGCATAATGTGCACCTCTGCCTACCCCTTCGGGGATAAAAGGCGTGATGTTATGTTATGTTAATATTGTTTTCCTTTTACTTACTTTTGTACAAAACATATTTAACATATATTTTTTTTTTGTTCATCAGTTTTAATGAGCTTTTAACCATTTAATCTCTTTAGATTGATATACATATAATGAAGGTAGTTGTGTGAAATAAATAGATTGTAATGTATATCCATTAGGGTACCTAATCTTAGTGTGTGGTTTATAAATCAGATCAATATGTAGTCAGGAAGGGGATGAAAATTTCAATCACTAAATTTGACCCAAACAAGCAAACAGAGCACACTAAATGAAACCGTTTATTAAAGGGATATGAAAAAGAGTATACTTACAGTAGCTGTCGTATTATGAGCTCCAAAACCAGCAGTCTCACACGCAGTAAGAGCAACATCCGCAAGTGGCATTGGCAAAGGGCTTATTGAGGTCGGAAAAGCAGCTTGCAGCTGAAATGTAACATTGATATTTTTTTTCACAATAGGTACTTATAACCATTAAAATATAAATTTAAAAAAAATATTTCTCACTGTAATGACAGCAATATCGTTGACAAACGGTATATGTCTGGTGTATTGTGGGTGGATAGTTATAGTCGCTATGTCGCGAACGTTGTTAGCATTATCACTTGTAAGAACTGTACCAGCGAAAACTCTAAAGTTGGCAAAGTTGATGGATACCCTGTAACAGTCATAAATCATATTATTTCTTTAAGTTTTTCATGTCTTTAAATAAAATTTCCTTTAAACTGTCAAACACCGCGGTGACCGCAACCTATTGTTCCTTAATTGTGTCCATAATACGGTACTCAACGTGTTAAAGATGGTGTTTAGAATAGATAACAAATTTTGTGTCGTTTAAGTACATATTATTACCTATACTATGTGTTTTATTGTCTTATTTTAATCGTTGTTTTTTATTTTTCTCTTAACTATCCCTTATCTAATTTCTTATAAAATTTCCATCCAAAGGTTGTCTGGAAGAATTCACCATTATGTTCAACCACCCATTGTACGCATACATAAATTGTTAGCTTAGTTGGCTTAGGCTACTTAGATGTGTACAATTAAGCATAAATAATATATAATTTAATAAATTATAATCAGACAATTACCTACAATAAAATTACATAAACAGACACTTTTGTACATGACTCAAATGTGACTCAAATGATAATTTAACTATTTACTGTTCATAAATAATTTCCTGTATTGATAATAATTTTATTGATTTATTCTTGTGTATTAAATGATTTATATTTATTTATATAAAAATACCAACCCTGTATTGGTGTCCATAGTGCATGCTGCAGTTGTCAATGCATGCTGTTGAGTGATCAACACACCTCCACATCTGTGACCTCTTGTGTAGCTTTGTAATTGACTTTTGTCTTGTAACGATATCTAAAAATAAAAAAAAATATTATTTAATGTTATGGAAGATTGCGTTTGTACTTTCTCGAAAACGGTACTGATATTTCTTAATTATTTTGTTTATGAAATAGGAGGTAAGCGAGCTGATGCATCACCTGATGGTAATTGATCAGCGCCGTCCATGGACAATCGAGTCTTAAATCTTAAAATCCTATTCTAATAAAAGATGGGCTTATTACCGAATCCTATGACTGATAAATAGATAAGATTATATAAAATAATGAGGTTTCTGCAAACTGTATTATTAGACTCAACATTTCGTATAAAAATTTAATGACAACTACTTAGAAAACCATTATAGTGAAAAAAACTAAAACCGCGCTCTTGGTCGCAATTATGTACTCGTCATCAGGAGAAACGGAATTATCCAATGAATCTGAATTCGATTTGATTGCTAGTAGGCCGATAAGATTCAAACAGTTCAATCCTTTTAATGATCCCATGATCATGATCATGATTAAAAATATTTCTAAGCTCTCTTCACAAGTATCTTCTTATATTTTACTACACAGTTCGTTATAAGTTGACTTAATAAAACTATGTTAAAAGATATTTACCACATATTGTATGTCATTTCTGATTTGTCCTTGTGCGATCCGCTCAGCCCCTTGAAGTGTATAACTGTTGACGCCTGATAAAAAAATGATTATTCTATATTTATTTATAATATTATGAAATATTTTTAAATATGCGATATCACAAAAATATAAAAAACAATATAATAGAACAGTCGGGTAAAAATACAAAATTATGATGATTGAGTAACTGTGAAATAACAATAATTACGTGCTCAATATTATATTGCTCTATCATTAAGAGTCGCAATCATACCAATACTACTAGTGAAACAAACAACATTTTTACACGTCAATTTTATAAGCGAATGATGAGGCCGACTTTTCCTAACTGACTACTCTGAGAAGAAATGCCGAAACTAACTTAGAGGTCTGTCTCTTTTACTGCAGGCTACTGCTAAAACACTTAGACAAAGCATCCTCGAATGACTTCTAAATAGCCCAGATGGAAGCCAAATGCAGCCGGGGCTAGTTTTAATGGAAAATAATCATCGGAAGACAACTCCCGTCCTAAAGTGTCAGGCTGTCACTTCCTAACTACTCGATTGAATTCAATAATATTTCTTGTCGAGTCCGTTATTAATTAAAAAACTCACGCCTCGTCCGCGCCCACTACTCATAATTAAGAGTCCCTCTGTGGCTCGAAACTAGTAGAGCTTTTCTCATTATTTCGCATCAGTATACCGGAGCTTTTAATTAATTTAGTATTATTGATATGGTTAGTTACAGTTATTATAAGTGCACTTTATTGGTAAGGTAAAGTAATAGAAAAAAAATCAACGGATTCACCAACAGCAAGATATACATAAGACCTGGCCAAACCAGAACCATAGTATTATAATACTCACCGCAAAAAGCAACCACACACAATAATAAAAATGTACACATTTTGATACACCTATTCTGTCACTACAATGGCTAACTAGACACTACTTATTTTCCTGCAATTATTATATACCTACATATGGATTTGAATAATCTTATCTAATTAAGATACACAGAATTAACATGAAGTTTTTTTTATCAAACAATATGACTGTTTCGTATTTACCGTAATTGTAGGTAATTTAAAATTCGCTATGATTCACAACTTTTTACATAATATTATGAATCCTACAGGGTTTCTTTTTAAAAGACACTAGTTGAGTCATGCACTTGCAAAATGTATAAACCTCCCAATCGATTTCGATCATGGTGGCGAGTCTAACTAGACTCTAACTATTCATCCAAAGCCTCAATCTTTTATGTTAAAATTAAAGGAATCGTAATATTTATTATTTAGTTATAAATACTTACATTAAACATTTATAATTATCTACTGTTATTCCGTGTATTATTGTTCTACACTTTTCCTATTATACGACAAATTAACTATTAATTCTAATATTGGAACGATTATTTGTATGCTCTTTTTTCAATATATTTCGATAACTGTGTATAAGGGAATTGCATAACTAAATTCTCTCTATTCCGTTTCACCATCAGACCAACGGTAAGGTTACGTTTGAGCTGGAGATATAAAAAACGTATAGATAAGTATCTCGTTTTGATCTAATAAAACTAAATACGTTCCGAATTCACGTTCCAATGCTACCTACAGCATTGGAACGTGAAACATCTTATTGCATTTTTTGTTACACATTCGTATGCTGATATCATACCCGTAATAAAAATAAATGGGATCTCGATTGATCTAAATATTAGGATACAAATTTAAGAGAACCAAATACATCTTTTGAAGCACATAAAATATTCTACGATTGCTGGGATGGAACGAATGGCTTGGCTGTTTTCAGTAATCACTTCGCGCACATTTTGTGTTAGTTTTTTTTATTCTCCTTTATTTATTTTAAGGGCTTTTGTCCATATGGATACGTCAGCCCCATTGTACCTTATCTAATTAAATATACTCTATGTAAATGAAAGGGAATCATTAACAAGGTCTAGATATCAGAAAAGTTTCATCACCCTCACCAGGTCACACAATCCTTTTGCAATCTTCGTTTTAGGATTTGTTAAAATGTTTTGAACTAGCCCAACATCTAATTTATTCAACTTTTATCATTTTGTATTAGTCTATGTAAAAATGTTTTTATTGAAATTTTTGTCATTAAACCTTAAACGCCATGCCTCGACCAGTTGGGAGCTATTGGCATTTAGTGGCTTCCATCATGGATCACCAGAACCTTTATCAGGTCGTATGAACAACGTGAAGACTGCATTTCGTGATCATATTTATTTGCAGGTCGAAAACAGTCTAGTTTCCCAGTACACATTTATGATTTTTGAATTAATGCTTTTAATGAAAATGACAGCCAAAGTCAACAAGATATTTAAATTTTTAAATAAAAAGTGAATTATTGTTAAATTTGTACTCGAAAGTGTGTATTATTTTCATCGAGACGTGATTGTGTTTATAAAAATGAATTTAAAGGCGAAATACAAGTGGCCTGTCTGCTGCATACTTTAAATCTTTCTACGCGTTGACTTCTATCTGCTTCGACGTGCTGACAAAGGAGAATGCCCACGGCACTATGGACAAATGTACTGAATTCAACATTGTTGTGTCTCAATGAAATAATCTTTAAAATATTCGATGGCATGTCCAAATACTACCTCAAAAGATTTAACACAAAATACATTGGCATTTTCGAGATATTCACAAAATAAAATTACTATTTTGAGGTTATGTCCGACCAAAAGTTAACTGATAAAAGCTATTTAAAAGGGTCTGAATGAGTTTACGGGTGTGCTTTGTATCTTTGAAGCATACTTATTTGTGTAAAATCTGTAACGTGTTAGCTATGTCAGGTGGCCAGTTAGTAGTGGACACATGTGTCTACCTCACCGAGTCTTATTGATTTAGATTTTGCGCATTTTTAAATCTAACGCCCGCGTTTCATGAAATTGCAAAGCATGGAAGGAACCGTTAGTAAAATAGTCAATAGCTCAGTGTTATATCTAGGCCCTACTCAAATCATAGATGTGGTAGGTATCATGACATGGCCTTTATAAATACCTACAGAGGGAAGAAACAAAAACAAATACAATACATATAATGAAACAACGAAGTTGTGATTCGGAAACAAAACTGAAACAATTTTATTCTTTTTATTAAACATAGACAACACATTGATAATCTTATATTCTCATAAGACCACAGAGATTCAATACAAATGAGTATGTTGGGATCCAATTTAACACCCCCACTATCTCAAATAATCACAGAAACACAATAAGTACCATTTTAACAAAACAATCATTCATACACTAACCACACCTAACATTTTCATGAACATATAATGTTTCTTTGAACATAAACTTTTGGTGAGCAAATCAGCAGGCATGTTATTGGTCGGCAAATAATGTAATTTTACAATATTATTTGATACACACTCTCGAGCAAAATGATACTTAACATCAATATGTTTTGATTGCTTATGTAGCACAGGATTTCTCGACAGTTTTTGTGCACTCTGATTGTCATTATATAAATCCAAAGTGTACATTTTATCTGTTATTTCAAACTGCAAT